AGCAATTTCAAGCAAATTACATTCAGTTATATTGATATGAAATTATTATTACGTAAGGTTAGCTTAAAAAAATTCTGAAACTCGATCAAATATCCAGCAACTTGGGCTCTCGGAAATCATGATACAATAATAGAAGCGCGAGCAACAAACTACCTATATCAGATTAAATGGCCTTCTGTACGTCATTGTAGTCTTGCGTGTTTTGCAATGCAGCTGTAACTGCTGTAGCTGCAACAGCCGTAGCTGCAACAGCCGTAGCTGCAACTGCCGTAGCTGCAACTGCCGTAGCTGCAACTGCCGTAGCTGCAACTGCCGTAGCTGCAACAGCTGCAGCAAAACACCCTCTGCAAACTCAAGCTCTCATCAGCAGCTCTCAATCAGCTCATGTAATGAAAAGCCTACAAAACGACTGCAATTCCGGCGGTTTTTGTACCGCAATTTAAACAGCAAACTCGTTTGTTGTGCGCATTCATTAATTCATTCACTTTTTTATGTTCTGTCGAAGCACAGATTTTTATTGTTGAGTCGAAACTTGGTTATGAAATATGCGAAGCGATCTGAAATGATCACGGAAAATTAAGATTAATGTTAAGCAAATACCAGTCTTGTGTGCATGAATGAAATTTGATCAAACCAATGATATTGATTCTGTATGAGCAGGGTTTGAAAATGTATTTAACTTGATTGCTTAAAGCTCATGTTTAACCAAGAATTTAAAAGCAAATATAATGTCAAATAAATTCACCTTTCAATTATCGAAAAAGTTATGGATAACGGCTCCATCATCAGCTCAAAAACTGTAATTAAATTCAAGTGCGATTGTTCATTTTTAAAATACTTGTATTCTTGAAAATTTTTCATGATAATAGAGCTGGGCCAATACTTTCAAAAAAAGTTAAGAGATCGTAAGTTCATCAGCCAATCATTGACGGCCTTTCAAGCAAAATCCACCAATCATAGACAAGAAAATAGAGCGTAAGTACTTACGTTCACTTATCGAGTTTTGAAAGTATGGGCCCTAGTCTACATAGCGGTTTCAACGATTATATCTTATTTTCAACCATTTAGCCTAGAAAACATGTATTTTCATCGTCTCTGAATTTTAGCCTTGAGGGAAATTTTAGTATAACTGGGTTAACTTTTCATTTTAATAAATGCCAAGTAAAATTGGGGCATTACTTATCTCATTGAGTGTATGCTTCACTTAACGGTCCGTGATGATGTATGAAATTCCTTTGTAATTTCTTACGTATTTAAAATGAGTAATAAGTTCTGTGCATCCTATTTTTCCTGATTTCAAAATACAGTTTTGAAAAACGCCAAAATAAGATATGAATATTTAAAATATTGTAATTTTTCTCCTATGTATGATTTCTATATATTGTACATATTCAAGAAACACGTGCTAGAATCTAAACATAACTACAATATTGATACCTTCACTATACTGAAAAACTTTGCAACCACATGCTACTTCTATTAACTGACTGTTTAACTAACCAAAAGTATTCACTTTACTGAACAAACAAGTCGTTCAGAATACTTGCGGTGCATATTTGAGTTGGATTCTATGCATTATTAAATGGGGTCTAAAAAGCTAACCAGGTTGTTATTAACGTTGCAAACATTGTGGTGAATTTTTAATGGTTACGCACGCCTAGCCATCGTAAACCCAATAAATATTCCAATCTGGTATTAATAAAACAATAGCATTTGATGGATTTAGTTGCACGGCGCGATTGGACGCGCCATCGTCTGTTATTAAACTTTTAGCACATTTGATGCCCCGTAAGCGTGAAGTAACTTTTTTAATGTAGTGATTTATTTGATGATTTTGTGACTCGTTCAATGGAAGTTTTGCGTTGGCGGATCTAAACGAAAAGTAAATTGGAAATTATAGTTATTCTATATGTAATTTATTAATGTCATGAATCCGTATGTTCTCGACAGTTTTTGAACGGTTACATTAGAGTATTTTAAATAAACTGCCATGTTGAACATTAGTTTCTAGATTTCTTGTACTCAATAGTTTGTACGTTATTCCAAAGCATGACATCAAAAAAATTTACGAATTTTAAGGGTAAAATTCGCCTTGATTTGGCCAGGAGAAGCAGCCAGGCATTGCTGTTAATGAGGCGCGTTCGAAGCAAGTACTGGCAATTAAAAGAGTCAAAGAAAAGCTCGAGAAGACGCGGCCAAACTTTTAGTCTAGGATCTCTGACTAATTAACCGAGAGCGAAGCACTTAATTAGAGTTTCGACAAGACTTTATAAGGAGAAATCGCCGTCGGCAAGTCGGGGGGCGCGAGATGAAAAGCTGTCGCGGTAGGACGGCGTTCAGCGTCGGAAATTTGGTCAGAAATCAGGAAATGTCGCGTGAGACTTGAAGGACGAGAGCGAAGCACTTAATTAGAGTTTCGACAAGACTTTATAAGGAGAAATCGCCGTCGGCAAGTCGGGGGGCGCGAGATGAAAAGCTGTCGCGGCAGGTCGGCATGGAGCGTCGGAAATTTGGTCAGAAATCTGGAAATGTCGCGTGAGACTTGAAGGGAAACTAAATTTTAATATTTGAGTAATTTCTTATTTTCAGTCTTTCAAAAATGTTAGTGTTGTTATGGTTATTTTATTCTTGAAATAGTTTCTATATTACATGTGAATTTTTAAATTTTCGGTATGAGACCGACTAAATTACATAGATCAATTTAGAAATGTTAAAAAAAATATATTAAAAATCAAACCCACATGTCGGACATGGTGCATAATCAAGATACAAGGTTGCATTATCGGGTCTACGGAAATGGAAATACATTATCTACATTAATACCTCATAGAAACTTATTAAGTCTACCATCAAATAATTTTAGGAATATAACAATAAAAAATCAATCAGAAGTTATCTTTAAATAATCTATGAATAAATTTATAGATAAATTTATCTATCAATAAATTTATTTAGAATGAAAATTTAACTGTAAGTAAATAAGTTTGTCTATAAATAAATTTTGATAAAATATAAATTTTCATAATAATCAATTTGCCTATAATATAAACTTTCTATTAATAAATTCAAATGTAATATTACTCAATCTATAAATTCAATTTCTTTAGTTTACATACTGATTGTTAGAAATTTATAAATTATTTAAGAACTTTAAGAGCCTGTAATTTTATTCGCAAAGTATGGCATTATTGTGTGGACTTTCAAGCTAAAATTTACACTCTCTAAACTTTAGTACGTTAAACTTTGAAGTTACATTTACTTAAGCAGAAAGCATAAAACTTTCACGTTAGAGCAAACGCTTCAACTCGAATATTCAGGAATTATAAAGTTTTTTCCAAAGCATTTTTATAATTTACTGCAGTCCGGCTATTCTTTCCTGACTCACGAGTTCGGCGAGCCGATCCCGACTTGCGAAAATGATTCGGTGATATTTCACCATACACCTTCGTACTTTGCTCGGAACGTCGATCAACTCGTCGAGATTGGTCGGTCGGAGTTAGTTGTAGCTGCAACTATCTTGTTAAATGAGCTCGGTGCATTCAAGAAGCAACGGAGGAGAAGAGGACTGTGGTCGTAAGTTTGTTTAATCAATAAACAGTGATTTAGTCACATGAATTTTTTAAATTTCATGTAGACGATAGTCGAAATAATTATTAAAACTATTAAATCCTGTCTGTTGAAAACTACAATGTGCTGTTGGACAAGGTTAACTAATTTACTCATTTATCAGAAAAAATGTTGGTTGAAGATTTTCCGAAAAGCATTAAGCGGAGAGAAAGGCTTCTGGTCTCTTGATTTTATAACTTGTAACTTTTTTATGAAAATCAGCGCTCATGCATAACTTGGAGTCAGTCATATATAGCTGCACACAACCTACCTGCTTGACGGCCTCATAGCGACTAAACTAACTAGTGGAGAGTAGTGATACCGAGCGTTGCCGAGCCGAGCCACCAGCAAGCAGTAGATGCCGTGGCTCGGCTTGTCCTTATTTTGCCCGCTCGGCTTGTTAGGCGCAATACAGTGGCGGGTTTGGGTAGTTTATGGTGAGCCGAGCTAGCCTCGCGAGTCGGGCTCTATGGTGAATGTTTTTTTAGAAGGCAAAAACTTTGCATGGATTTTAATATTTGATTTTGAAATGTGGCGCTATGCAGCTCTATAATTTTTTATTGCTGTCAAGCTGTCAATAATACCGTGTGGTTATATTTTAACTCAATCAACACTGTAATATTACCAACTATTATTCCTTTAAGTAAATACCTAAAAGTTGTTCCTAGAAGCAAAACTTCCAGGCATGTTACTGAAATTATTATTAATATTATAATCCGTATGAATATTCATCTGAAGTACCGCGTGGTAATGTTTAACGGTTAATCTTAAGTTGCTGCAAAGTACCTCATGATATTTTCAATATTCGTATTTCAGTTACTTATCCCCTTTTGCTTTCGGTAATTTTTGACGATTATTCTCAAATCGAAGCATGGTACTGGGTGATAAATTTAGTTCTATTTGAATTCATTTCCCGTACGAAGGATAGAAAATATTTAAATGTTAAAAATTGCCTTTATTCTTAAGTTGATCCAAGATACCTCTTAATAAAAATAATTATATTTCAATTTCTATCCCGCGCAGGCCTCGCACCGACTGACAGTGTGGAGCAGCTGCCGTGCTGTCATGGCTGTGGCGATCCTACCGCTGGTGTAGACGACGTAGTGCATGTAGAACCAGACATGCTGTGGCACGCCAGCTGCTTGAAATGTGGCGAGTGTGGCATCAACCTTGGCACTCAACTCAAGTGCTTCATATATCAGGGCAAGCCATACTGTGCCCGCGATTACGGCGTGTAAGTAACAGTAACCTTACTCATGTAACAGAGCAAGCCATACTGTGCCCGCGACTACGGCGTGTAAGTAACAGTAACCTTACTCATGTAACAGAGCAAGCCATACTGTGCCCGTGACTACGGCGTGTAAGTAACAGTAACCTTACTCATGTAACAGAGCAAGCCATACTGTGCCCGTGACTACGGCGTGTAAGTAACCGTAACCTTACTCATGTAACAGAGCTAGCCATACTGTGCCCGCGACTACGGTGTGTAAGTAACCGTAACCTTACTCATGTAACAGGGCAAGCCATACTGTGCCCGCGACTACAGTGTGTTAGTAACAGTAACCTTACTCATGTAACAGAGCAAGCCTTACTGTGCCCGCGACTACAGTGTGTTAGTAANTACTGCGAAAACTGTAATGTAATGTTATCATTGATATACTTCGATCTTTATAGATCTTCGATCTATAAAATTAATGCGAGTTGTTAATTAATGCAAGAATCCTTAAATTTCATGAATAAAACAAACTTCTCGAAGTAAAGAATTAAAGAAGTAATCGAAGTTATTTATAAATGGACTTTAATTGGAGAATTTATTCGATTGCATTAATCTACTGCGAAAACTGTAATGTAATGTTATCATTGATATGACTAATGTAATATCATTACTAATGTAACTGTAAAGTAATATTATCAGTAATTTAACTGGATGCACTTAATTGTGCTCACCTAAATTAAGTTAAAATGCAAGATTGATTTATATCGCAGATAGATATACGGTTTAATCCTAAACCTAAATTAATCGTAACTTTTTAATTTACTTCACTTACCTTTTTAATGTATTCGTCTTATTCACCTTATAATGTGTCATGAAATTCACCTCTCGATCATGGCCACTGTCGTGAGATCACCTTCACTAACAAAATAATATATAAAAAAGAAAAAAAACTCTCCAGAACCTTCTATTCCACTACAACATTTCTATCAATTTTATTTTGGACCCCCTTTTCTCTGGTCTAAATCTCTGGCAAGGTTCAGGATGTACGTCATTGTACCTAGGCCAGCAAAGCATAATAGGACTAGAGTAGCTCGAGCTCCTTATGTCTGAGATAGGCATCTCGTCGCGTAGATTAGACCATGTCGCCCTCTGTTCAGGCTTGGGCGCATTAGGCGGCGCTACCACAACTGTTGCAGCTCCTAAACAGAAGATGCTGTTCGTAAGCGGCAATGGTATGCTACAGAGAAGATGGTATGCTACGGAGAAGATGATATGGTACAGAGTAGAGCTTCTTTTTCGAGGAAATACATATCTTGTGCCATATAATGCCTGCATAAGAGTAGTTTTGGTGTGCGTTACTGATCTTGTTCGTGCTTTTCGTAAGAGGCAATGGTATTCTACAGAGAAGATGGTATGCTACGAAGAAGATGGTATGCTACAGAGTAGAGCTTCTTTTTCGAAGAAATACATATCTTATGCCATATAATGCCTGCCTAAGAGCAGTTTTGGTTTGCGTTACTGATCTTGTTCAGTGTTAGGACGAAATTTGTGGAATTTTTGTTACTGAGAATTACCCGTCATTTGAGTTTACGAGCATAGACTTGGGCAATTGAAACATGTTGGAACATTGTGTGAAAATTGTGAAAACTTCTAATTTGCATACACTTCAACACATAGTCTGGTTTTGTACCAGTATCTGTTTGTGTATTATGCAAAAATCGATTTAGCACCATCAGATTGACAAACAAACCGTAACTATTAAACCAGTTTCTTCTCTAAGATAATAGAAAAAAATCGTGATTTTATATTCAAACAATTTTAATCCAAGAATCAACTCAGTAGTCTATGATAAACAACGAAGAAATAATGTGTGAATAAACTACAGATTAGTTGAGAGTTTTATATCCCCAGCATGGATCATTCAGCCCATGGTTGATTAATTCAACCATGGTTCAGCCGATCCTCTCCATTAGCTCCTCTCCCACGCCAGGTTGTGTTCTCCAACTGTCTTTCTACGCCAAAGATCTGTAACGAACATTTGCATTCAATGAACTCTGAAATATTTGTAAACTTTAGTGATCTCACTAGATATGTTTATCCGTACTGTATTCCAGACTGCATTTTACCTGCGACTAATCTTCAAAGATAAGTTCTGCCGTCGCTGAAATCCAAAGTAACTGTTAGCTTATATCGATCACCAGAGTTACTATTAGCGTTAATATATGGATAACCAAAAAATTTTTCTATATGACCTGTTAATGTATCTACAGATGAATAGAAATTCTTACAACTAGATAAAATCACTAGAGATGATTTTAGGAAGAGATTTTAGCCTATAAGGATCGTAAAAAAAATTTCAATCATAAAATTCTTTGAAATTTACAACCAAATAAAATGTCTTACAGTCAAATGACTTTTCAAATCATGGCAAAATTTCGAAGATTCTCAAAGTCGCCAATAAAATCCATCTATAAATTAAGAACTCCTTGTTTTACCTTATGCGACAATCCCAATAATATCAATCAGTATCAATAAATCAACTCTAATTTTTTTTCATTTGCGACGCTTCGTCAGAACCTTGTAAACCGCTCATCATCTGCCTTATTATATTGTATGATAAACAAAAATGAGTAAGCAAACTACTGTAATATTAATGTACATAGGATGAAGTCTCAGTATACTGATCTGAGATTTATTATTACAAAAAATTAGTGCAAAAAACAATATAATGATATTTATGAGAAGCAGACTTTGTATATAAAATAATAGCGATAATATTGCTGCAGAAACAACTGCAAATCTTTTAGTATTACTTTAAATGAACCATGTCACAACAATTATTTAGTATACATTACAAAGGTCATAATGTTGCCCAAATAAATAAATAATCGCAGGCAAATTACTCTAATAACATTCAATAAAACTCCCGATAAAAAGCTGCGTACATCGCTCCCTCGCCGCGACCGTGACTGCGCACATCGCTTGTGGTCCGCGCGTCTTTTGGCGCGCACCGCTGCCGTGACGCGCGCGCATGCTGGACACGTGCGCGCGTATGCGCCCTCCGTGAAAAATGTTCTCCCTGCACAGCATCCATACGCAGCCACTGCAATGTTCTCACTGCACAGCATCCATACCATACGCAGCCACTGCAATGTTCTCACTGTATAGCATCCATACGCAGCCACTGCAATGTTCTCACTGCACAACATCCATACGCAGCCACTGCAATGTTCTCACTGTATAGCATCCGCTGAAATGTTTGTTCTCACTGCAAGGCATGGTCTGCTGCTGAAATAATCTCACTGAACAACATCTGCTGAAATGTTCTCACTGCACAGAACCCCTAGATCGGACAGAAATGAAAACCACGATCACATTCGTATGTGGGGACCACCGAAAAGCCCAGACTCATCCACGTCGATATTAGCGAGACAAGCGGCGCGAGGCTCCCACGATGCGCCCACAAATTGTTGAGATCTTCGCAGCGTCCCGCCGCTGTGGGGGCCGTGGCTCTCACCTCAGCGTCGCTTTTGTACCGCACACGCGCCCCTGACACCTACAATCTTGCGTCACGTGACCAAGCATCATTAGTGCAAACTTCATCGTTACGTGGTCATCATTGTCATCACAGGCGTCGTCATTGTAACGTGCAAAATACCTGGCTACGTCGTCATCATTGTCATCACAGGCGTCGTCATTGTAACGTGCAAAATACCTGGTTGTGTGGTCATCATTGTCATCACATACCTGGCTACGTGGTCATTATTGTCATCACAGGCATCGTCATTGTAACGTACAAAATACCTGGCTACGTGGTCATCATTGTCATCACAGGCATCGTCATTGTAACGTACAAAATACCTGGCTACGTGGTCATCATTGTCATCACAGGCATCGTCATAACGTATCAAGTACCTATGTAGTCATCATTCATATCACTATTTCGAGTAACTATTCGTGCTATCACAATTTCTTGCAAAAAGACGTACTTCTTCATCGGAATTCCGAAGTCAACTTTATTGATTCTACCTGTTATTTACTCGATACTAATACAATTCATTTAATTGTGTCTGTTATCTACTCGATAATAATACAATTTATTTAATTAGATCTGTTACTACACGATACTAATACAATTTATTTAATTAGATCTGTTACTTATTAGATACTAATACAATTGATTTACAATTACAATTTCATACAATTCATAATATCTGTTATTTACTGGATTCTAAAAAATCATTAAATTATACTGTAGCTGTCATTTACCCGATTCTAAAAAAAATTCATTAGTTATATTTGTTATTTACTCGCTACTTATTACAAGCCATTTTACATAAAATTAAATTTTATTCCTTTACCTGCTTCATATATATCATATTTACCTAACAAACATAAAATGTTTTACACTATTCATTACCTTACCTTATTCATTACCTTTAACTACTGATGATGAGTTAATGCAGACAAATTCAGTTAATACAGACTCTGATTTAATACAGACACATAGTTAATACAGACACCTACAGTTAATACAGACACATTCAGTTAATACAGTCACCTACAGTAAATTACCTACACTGACAGTTAATACAGACAAATGCATTTAATACAGACACATACAGTTAATACAGACATAATAGGTAATACAGACACATAGTTAATACAGACACATACAGTTAATACAGACACACAAGTTGTCTACACAAGCCACCACGACCTCCCGCACTTCTTCCACCACACAAAACAAACACACAGCGTCTCGCCTAGCAAGCCTTCACCGGCACCACCTGGTTCACAGCACTCTTGAACTGCGAGCCTTTTAAAAATATAGGCTTAGTAGGCTTTTAAATGTGAAATTGGGAGAGAAAACGCCACCAAATTTGCTATATCCAGGCATTTTTTGAATGTTAATGTGGACATGCGGCCATGAAACGTAAGGCACCCGAAATGAAAATTCAGGAAAATGAATCTATTCGAGAAATATTTCAAAACTATTTTGAAATATCGCCACATCACCAGACAACAATGAAACTAGGAATCCATGAGTCTGTAGGCCTAATGTTTCCATCCACTTGAAAACAATTTTTTGTCGACCTTTGAAAATATTTAGGTTACAATACCGATCAGCACGGCCATACAGTAGTTAGAGAAACAGATTTATATTCAAGCGCAAGTATATTTTGTTTAAAACATTTATTATAATGTAATTCTATGTAATTTGAATTAAATGGCCATGTATAGTTAGACAAAAAGAGCAATCGTAAGGCTCACCAGTGGTATATAGTAAAACTTTTAAATAAAATCAGTTAAAATAGTAATTATATGGCACTCCCATATTAATGGGAATTAACATGAAATAAATGTTAATATATTGATGATAGGAGGGAGAAAACAGCATGCTTAAGGCTTAAAGGCCGCCCATGCATAAGGAGCTCGAGGCAGGATGTTGGCCTCAGTTGTCTTGTTATCTTAAATCTTTCGAGGTCAAGGAACAAACTGAAAGAAAACACAAATGCTTCAAACTCTGTATTTATTGATTTTTTTCCAAAATAGAACCGCTGAACTTCTTTAAAAAATTAGAATACGTATTATTACCACAAATAATGTTTGTCATTTAGTGCCGTCGAGTAATCAATATTTTAATCAGAAGCTTGCGAACAAAGAAAAATGTATATTGACATCGATACAATTTATGACGCCTGCATTGACATATGACCCACGTATGTGCTATAATATTTTAATAAGAAAAACAATGACATGCACTTGCAGAATATTCCCATTCTAAACTCAGTATCATAAATATATATAGCTCATCAATTATCGTGCCATGTATGACCCATTGTCCGAATCAAACCACCGGCAATTATAATTTATAGAAAAAAAATACCCGGTCATTTGCCTCAATATTGACACATTTTCTGCACGTAGCCCTCACACGCCTGATTAAATGCCGAGCCAAACTGTGTCAAGGTGAACCTCGCAAGGGCAAGAAATGCATCGCTATTTGGACCAAGTTGCACTCATAACCCTGAGTGTACAGCCCCTGTTGGACAGCACATTTTAAGTCCGTTGGACCAAGTTGCACTCATAACCCTGAGTGTAAAGCCCCTGTTGGACAGCCCATTTTAAGTCCGTTGGACCGAGTTGCACTCATAACTCTGAGTGTAAAGCCCCTGTTGGACAGCCCATTTTAAGTCCGTTGGACCGAGTTGCACTCATAACCCTGAGTGTAAAGTCCCTGTTGGACAGCACATTTTAAGACCGTATCATGACTAGCGCAAAAACAACGGAGACGCTAACGCCCCGGCACAGCTTCTGAGTGAAGTGTGATGTATTTTCTTGTGTTTTTAGGACCATAGATCCATTTAGCGACCAAGTGTTGTCACTAACACGTCATCTAGCGCGCGTCACAAGCAGCGTGTGACTCAGACGTGACACACGCGCTCTGTGTAAACATCTACACACCTGTGGCACAAACACATGGGTGCACACATGCAAACTACACATGTCACGTCAACAAAAATCACCTAAATCCAAATGTATGTCTGCATACGATTACACAGGAATCTTCTCCATAAGCAGTTATTATTTAAATCTCAATTACTTTTATTAAATGCTGGCATTTTATTTTGGTGACAGGAATAATTACATATAAATATTTCTTCTTTTTCGTAATATTAACTCAGCGAAAAAATGAAACGAATTATTTTAGTTATAGTTGTAATGACGCTATTGAATAGTTCCTATCGGATATCGATTTAAACTACAGTTGATACAATACAAAATTTATGAGACAATATGAGAAGTTATAAAAAAATTATATTGAGATATTCTCACTATTGACCTGATACGTGATGATACGTGAGGATCATCATAATTAATTAAGTTGATTTATTTACAATTAGGAGGGTCTCACAATAACCAAAATATAAACCCAGAATACTTTTATAATAGCGGGTTATGACCGTCTATATTTATGTAGAAAATGTCTTTAAATTTTCTCTATTTTTGTTGCACTATAAAATAAATGTGCGTCGTTTACTAAATGTTAATAATACTTTTTTAGGTTCACATTTTCATTAAGTTATTCAAATTTAAATTATTTACTATAATGGTTCTAATGATACTTTTCTAAGTTTACATTTATATTAAGTTATATGCACATTTAAATTATTTACTATAATGGTTCTAATGATATTTTTCTAAGTTTACATTCATATTAAGTTATATGCACGTTTAAATTATTTACCATTATGGTTCTAATTTTGCATAGTCATTGAGAGGAAGAAAAAGCTGCCGAAATTAGGCAGGAGCATGACGGACGGAAGGATGTTTGACTTGCGGGAAGAAGGAAACGCTCGTTTTTTTCTCAGATTTTTTTGCGTTAGTTTTGAAAGGAAATTAGCGGTAGCGAGCGAGCTTGTTGTGACGCCAACGATTTACATATGGGAAGTAAAAATAGTGTTTTTTTTGGAGTATTTAAACATCCGTGACGATATGATTACTTAGTTAAATCAATGTATATAAAGAATAGATGCGTCACAAGTTATTTTCGGAGTGAAAGTAATTCTGATGAATTTTGCTTAGAATTCTTTAAAACAGCATTAAAACAAGGCGCTATTACGTGCTTAATATTCCCTTTAAAGTTAGTTACCGGATAATTTTTGATAATAATAGTTTAGGTTGATGGTAAATATTTTCTATGGCAATTCTGAAATAATTCAAATGAAACTTTTCCATTAATTGTGATCTAAGACTTGAATATTTAAAAAAAAGAGTTATTAAAACCCTTCAGAAACTTCTATCTCTATATTTATTAATAATAACAAAAAATGAAATACGAATGATAATTAATAATTCGAGTTTGTAATTCTAACTTCGCAAAGTATTTAAAAATAAACATTTTTCCGACACAGGAATACAAATTCTAAAGATAATAGGATCCAGGACATTCTATTCGGAGCGAATAAAAAAATATTCCTGACTAGCCATACTAGTACCGCTTATAAAATGTTATCTAAAAACTTCTGTGCAAAGCTTAAAATAAATTTTTCTCAACTCTCGTATACCAATGCTGAGTGCAATGCTACCGAGAAAATTCTGCGCAGAGCTTAAAAAAACATTTGCCGACTCTCGCGTATAATGCAAATGCAGCTGTAACAGCAAAGGTATATTTATTATTCAAGTCTTCGTTGCATCGATAGTGAAGACAACCCAACAGATCCTCGATGGCAGTCGAGCAAAGAAAAGTCTCTGCTTTTTGGTCCGCTGACCCTAGAATACGCGATGGTGACCAACAATGGAAGCTGCGGGATATTTTTTCTAGAATCCATTAGAGTAAAAGACTTGCGGCGAGCGTTTGCATTCGCTTGACCAAGATTGCGCTCGGGAAACTAGGAACTCTTGAAGATCTGCAATCGTATTGTGTTGTGACCATCGTCCTAACGACGTATTGGATGGCCGCGTGTGAAGAAATGTTAGGATAAACTTTTTGTATAAATATTTTCTGGGGAAATTTCGTTTAACATTGAAAAAGATTGATATGCCATGTTATTTTAGTATTTTTAGTATGAAATTTAATGCATCTCCACTTTGTATTTTCATATCTAAATTAACCAACTATTGAATTTTTCCATAAATTCCCCCTAAAAAACATCCGGATAATTCGATTATTTTTGACTAGATCTTTCATAAAAATATTCTGGGACTTTGTCCAAAGTGCTATGCATTTTTCACAAGGGCAAACCGGGTCATCCAAACTAAGTTTTTACGCGGCTACGTATACATGTACTACGTGGGTAAAGTGAGTCACTAATTAGACAATATCACACATTAATTTTCCTGACGGCAGTCTATGGACATTCAGGTTAACTGTGTTTTTTTTTTCTTTTGTTCAGAATGTCATCGAAAAAGTGCGTCAAGTGCAGCCAAGTGATCGGCAAGACTGAGTGGGTGATGAAGTGCAGAGGCGAGCTTTACCACACTACGTGTTTCACGTGAGTTTTCACAAGTTAAATAATATTTTTTCCAAATATCAAAACAATTTTATATTTTTTGGCAAGAAAAAACATTGAGAAAAAAACACTCGCGGAACAATTTTGCCGTTTTTTTTGCACGGCTTAGGTAAGTTATCGTATTTTGCAGCACTATAAATTTTGAACTTCTAGTCCTTCGATTTCATTTCAGTACAAGCGCTCAGTAAAAATGAAGCAAAAACTTTATACTATGGCGAGTAAACTTAATGTATTGCTAAGGAATAATATGAAAATATTTATTTAAATCTTAAATCATTCTTGACCTTCATTCCTAAGATCGGACGACGCTTGAACTATACGACTGTGTAAGCATTTCTATCCAATTAAACCATTACAGAATTATAGGCATGCTGTAATTTTTCAAATATCAGTTTAAATTTTAACATTTTATAAACGGTTATTTGTTTCTAGGTTTTGTTCAATTTTTTTTTCAAATTTAATAAATTATTTTGTTCACTATTTTTTAAATTTATTTACACAACGTTATGATGATCATTGCTCTCCAGATGCTCGGTGTGTGACTGCATGCTACAGAAGGGCATGTCTGTGGGCTTTACGCCCACTGGGCTTGTCTGTCAAGACCACATTCCGCCCTCTGTCCTAACGCCTTCACCAGCCCAGTCCACCACAAGCCCTCAGACGCCCAGCAAGATCAAGAGCGACCCTGATGGCAGCCAAGATAATCAAGGTGAGATATTCGATAGCTATTTTAAATTTTTTGCAATATTTTCGACAACTTTTTTGGACTCATGAAACTTCACTACTGTGAAAACTATGCTGTTTATGCCGCATTTGTTTTCTTGAAGTCGGTTGAATATCCTAATATATTTCACACATTGGATCGCATCGACAGCTATTTTTATTTATATTTTGCAATATTTTCGACAACGATTTTGGACTCGTGAAAAGTTCACTACTGTGAAAACTAGGTTTTTTGTCAGGCCGCCTTTGTTTTCTTGAATTTGGTTGAATATTCTGGTAATTTTCATACATATGATCGCATTCACAGTTCGAATTCAGGAATCTTTCTGCATAATTTCGACGGCTCAATTTTTTAAAGCGGAAAAATTCTGTTGCATTTTGTTCCGTAGTTTTTTACTGTTGTTTTTTTTTATGACAACAAAATTAACATTTAAACGATTTGGCTAAACTGACTTCATTTTTGCGAATTATGAATTATGAATGTTAGAAAAACATAAGCTGTTTTTCAAGCACGGGGTTTAACTCAAAATATTAGTCTGAACTGAAAGTTGCTCACTATGGAATCAATCTATTCGTCCAGACGTTACCGATGAGAGTTTATTATACTACCTTCTCTTAGGAAACGAACTGTATTTATATCATATGCTAAATTGACGCGCATTATAGGCGGCCAATCATCGGCCATCGATGGCTTATGCATACCAGAGCCTATATTTTCAAAAAAGTTAAGAGATCGTAAGTTCATCAGCCAATCATTGACGGCCTTTCAAGCAAATCCACCAATCATAGACAAGAAAATAGAGCGTAAATACATACGTTCACTTAGCGAATTTTGAAAGTATAAGATAAGTATCGTATAGAGTATCGATAAGTATAAGTATCGTATAGAGTATAAGTATAGAATATCGATAAGTATAGAGTATCGATAAGTATAAGTATCGTATAGATAAGTATAAGTACCGTTGAAAGTATAAGATAAGTTTAAGTATCGAATTTTGAAAGTATAGGCCCAGGCAATTGGCACGCGCCCGCAGTAGACACACGGCCGTGCAAGTGGTTGTAATATCCGGCCCGAGGCGTCTTTTTATTGGCCTCTGAGACAGCAATATCGCAGCAGTTCATTAGTAAGGCAAATCAATTCAATATCCGGTCATGTGGTCGTCGCTCGCAGTGAGGGAAACGCAAGTTCTTGCAATAAGGCGGCAATTAGACGAGGATTGCTTACTTTTGAGAAGCGTTTGATGAAGGCATCGCTATTCATTTCCTATGCTGGCTGGAATGCAGTTTTTGTTGGTGAATGGTGGAAAATATTTGTTTAATGGAAAAAATAATTTCAAGGGCCCTCTATTTCATTCATTCACAGGTAACAAATCAAAATTCATCTATTCAAGCCTACTGTATCGATGAATTTTTTTGCGTTATAGTAAAAATTTTAATAGATAAGGTTTAGGTCATTAATTATACGTGTATCTCGAATAAAAACCTCTTTATCTCTGCGGTTTTATCGAAAATTCACCGCCGCTGAAACAGGAAATTGGTCTGTTTGCTGCGGTAACAGGCGTGATATTTTCTGACCTGAACCAAGATTACTTACGATGTGATGCGTGTTTGTGTTAAATGTTTTTGGTTCCTTCTTTGATTGTTCATTCCTCATAAACCTAAACATTTATGGCTTAAACTATTCACACGGAACTGAATTGACCTTAATTATTCTCTTCCCCTCTCCATCTAATTATTGCCCTTGCTTCCTCCCTCAATTATTCTTTTTAACGAAAGTCAAGCTTCAGAAAAACAGGGAAGCTAAAAGCCACGCCCGTGCCAACAGCCCCTACCCTCCGTGCAGGGGCAAGACGCCATATGGTCTCTTGCTTCATCAGTCCCTCAGTCCCTCAGTCCCTCAGTCCCTCAGTCCCTCTGTCCTTCAGTCCCTCAGTCCCTCAGTCCCTCTGTCCCTCAGTCCCTCAGTCCCTCAGTCCCTCAGTCCCTCAGTCCCTCAGTCCCTCAATCCTCCGTCCCTCCGTCCCTCGGTCCATCAGTTCTGTTTAACATTGCAGGCGCATCATCGCTGTCAATGAATGGCTGGAGATTATTAATGTATGCGTCGGCTGGCAGCTTTAATGAGGCTANGTAATGGCAGCGACAGCTACTTAAATCCCATGATTAATTCCAAGGCAGCGCAGGCGAAGGAGCAGATCGCGTTATGCATTCACGAATCCTGCGACTTACACTCACTCTTTGTGATGAATATTTCACGGCATTGATCATGTAAACGGCGACACTCCGCTGCGTTGCACGAGTCTTCGTTGGTGTCGTGTATATTGTACACTTTTTTCAGCCTGCATTTTTTTTTGCCAATTTAGTTTGTTTTTATAAAGGATAAGGTTCATTTCTTGATGAAATTCCCTTTATAATTTAGCAAGGTTAATTCATTCACTTGTCTTAAATTTGAGGCATTTGTTAATTTCATGTCATTATTTCAAAAAGAAAAATTATTTGTGCAACGATCAAGGAAAATGCTTATAGCTTTACTGATATTCCTTATCGGTTACACGGTGTGTGAACTCATTATATTGATATTTATTATCATAAAAGTAATTCATATAATAGTAGAATGCGTCATTGGGAATTCTTCGTTCAGGGCGGGGTTTTGACTCACTTTGGTCGTTGGACTCACTTTCCTCCCCCGGGGCGTAATCACTCACAGCTCCCCCCTGAGCCCACACTTATCCCTGTTTATCAGGACGCTTATCTGCATCATCAAGAGGGGATCTGAACTCCTACTGCTCCTGTACTTCCCCTCAAGCAATACTACCCCACCCACTCTTCTACGTTTTTTTCTTACTCTCTCTATACAGGTAAAAACAAAACGTCTCATTTTTTCATACTCTATACAGTTAGAAACAGTACTCTTATTTTTTTACTACTCTATACCGGTAAAAATTAGTACTCCTTATTTTTTCCTACTCTATACCGGTAAAAATTAGTACTCCTTATTTTTTTTACTATTCTATCCAGGTAAAATCAGTACTCCTTGTTTTTCCAACTCTATATAGGTAAAAAACATTACTTACGAGGAACCGTCCGACACCTTGATTATGTTGGCTACTTAAACATAATTAAAAGTCCCCACTGACTTAAGAGCCACAGAGAACGCTTAGAAGCTCGCTTATAAATTTTTCTTTTATCCGTTTTTCGACGATTATTTACATAATTTTATTCGTATAATCCATTTTCTATATTGCAGGTTTGCAATTAAAATTCCTATCTCGTAGCAATCAAAATCAGGATAGAACCTCAACTCTTCCTTCGTTCTGTCACAGGTCGATCAATTTTTCTCTGCTTTTCCAATAACATAACCAAACTTTCTTTATATACGTCATCGACCTCTTATTCAACAGCAGTAGATACCTATAAAATTTAGTTGTATAGCCGGCCTTCAGTAATATTCAAATCAATAATTAGTATGCTTAATTTCCGGCCGTATTTCAACACTACTACTCAGTCGCGAAAATAGCCTGAATAAATATTTATTCAGTCTCTATTGTATTATTTTCTGAATATGCTTTTCCACTTTTTTGTACGAGTGTGTAAATAAATAATTAGTATGCATATTTTCCGGCCGTATTGCAACAATGCTCCTCGGTCGTTAAAAAAGCCTGAATAAATATTTATTTAGGCCCTATAGTATTATTGTTTGAACATGTTTTCCACTTTTTGTACGAGTATGTATTTTCGTGCAGCTCGCATTATCAACTAAAACAAGCGAGAACCTGCCACGCCCTCGTGAGGTGTGAGGGGAGCATGTCGACACCCTCACTCATGCTCACACTGCCCTAGTTGAAACTTCACGCTAATTAAAAAAAATTTCATAAAGTGTTATTTGTGAGTCTTTTTTTTCAAGCTCCGCTTGATAAAGATTGTTTTTTTTTTATTTTTACAGTCACAGAAGGTGAAAAATGTTTCTGTAAAAAGCATTCTTCGCCCTCTGTGTTGTTCAAAGTATTGTCCTAAAGCTGGAAGACGTTTCCTTTTTTGACATGATAGCTTCCAAAATTTCCTTTAAATTTTAAACATTTCCATTATTATTCATCATTACTTTTATTGGAAAGAGTCAGTGTTCTCAATATACTATAATTATCATTGAGCATATAATTAAATACACTTCAATATTCAGTTATCGCTTCTGCTGAAATGCTTCAATTGCCATGCCAGCGCTGTGCGGTCTAGAGCACGACTAACAGCATTAATATACTTAATCACATATTTAAAAATGAATGAATCTTAATCATATGAATGCGTTGCATTCCGGAATATCTTTGGCCATGCAAAGATTGGCAGCGGGCCAATCACGATCGCACTGATGGAAGACAAACACCATCGGGTCCTGGCCCGAGAAATCTGCCGCGAGTCAACAAATGCAGACTGGCTCAAACAGATAATTTTCTGCCCACTGATTCTGTGGATGATTACATGAACCAAAACGTGGAAAATTGAAACTGATCTTGAGCAAACGAGATCAAATATTTTTATTTTAGTTTGATTCGTTCGTAGATTGTTAGTACGTGCTGACATTGTCTCCTCGAGTGAGTGAAACTTGAACATGAAATTTCATTGTATTAGACTTTTATTTTAATTCATTTCTAACGAAATTGTTGATGCTTTATCTTTTGGACTAGATAAGCACAATTCCTTAAACTGCGTACAAAAAAAAAACAAGAAAGAAAAAACGAAACTAGTTATTCTTTTCTATCACTTTCATTACAAATAGTCACTGATTTGAATTGAATTTTATTTTCTCAATCAAACTGCGGTAATAGTTTCAAGATTCGAAAATCATAGCCAATACGCTCATCACTAACTGAACAAAGGCCTTTTCCGAAACTTCCTGCCTATTTTTTTCCGGGAAATTTTATTAAGGTTAATGCTACCGGCAGACGCGGTGGGCTTATTAAGTTTTCTCTCCACTCTGCGTTCTCTAAAATTCAATCCAGTCGCTCTTTCCTAACTTGATCAAATGGAGGAGGTTTTGGAGGCCTACAGCGGCGCACTTTCTTTCTATGATGAACTTTAGTCAATTTTCGAATTTCATTTGCGAGGTTTGCGCCGCTCGAGGGCAAGCAGCCGAATATCGTCCAAAAGCAAGACCAGAAATGTCACCCATAAAATCTGATCACTTGTGAAACTTATGTGAAAAGTTCCAGAAAAAGATCTACTACTTTGGAGCCTTAACATTCTTTACTCACAGGAGTTGCTTTTTGTTATGAATGTCTATTCCATCACACATTTGTGTTCGATAAAGAGTTTATGATAAAAAACACATGATAAAGGATAGTTAATTTTAAAATAGAATTAATATTACAAATTAGAATAATAAGAACAGTATTATAAATTCGTCGAGGCTGAACTTTCAAATTCAAATCACATCGCTCTATTGTACACTGCCGAACTGTCAAAGACCCATTGCACATCGCTCCATTGTACAGACGAACATTTAGATACCCAAAGCACATCACTCTCTTAGAATAGAATAGAATAGAAGTGTCGGCGTTGAAGACATAGGCCCATGGCCTGTTGCCGATTCTTGAACTTTTCGTGACTTGATTCACAAGGGATCCGGCCTTTGGAACCCGATCTTTCCGTAACTGACGATTAACAGCCTAACTTTGAAATGCCCGAAGCACAGTGCAGCTGGACTTTATTATACTACCTTAAGCACATGCATCACCCACTGCACAACAGAGCTTTCAAGTACCGAATGCATATTGCTTCTGTAAAGATATCTCCGCTGTACATTTCACAGCGAAGTTTTCAAGCCCTCTTGGCACTTCACCTCACTGGTATACAATGCGTATCTCAGAGTTCACTCACTGCTTAGCTCTGTTGTAGCGCCTGTCAAACATCGGCGGCTCGTCTCGAGTTAGCGGTGTATGCGCGACCTTTGTTCTCTTAACATATAAAACATCAACAAACTCTTGGATTTTCAAACAACTCTTGAGAATTCAAACTGTTTATTAATTTGGCTACCTGCACATTTCAGTATTTACGTTTTAATTTATGCCATTCGCATACAGTGCAATATTTTGTGAGTAATGCCATTCTCGTATTAGCCACAATTTTTGCCACGATATTAGCCACAATTTTTGCGTACAATAGATCTTGTGGCATTATTTCTAGCATATTGTTTATATTTTTCATTTAAACTTATGCTGGAAAAATCTTATTTTAGTGTGTTAAACATCACTTTTTGAAAGAGATGTAGATACCCGAACTCTTTAAATCTTGCTTTGTGAGTCCGTCATAAAATAGTAGTGTTGCTTGATCATTTAAACCCATGCGTACCAAAAACGATACTATTGCGATCGCTTTTTCCGTTACTACTATAAGTATAACAGAAATAGCAATATAATTATTCATTCAAAAAATATTATCGGAACTGGCATATAAACTGAGAATTTTTCAGCTTTAATGCTTCACAGTCCTTCCCGTAAATATTTACTTACATTAGCAGCTGGAATTTCCTATCTGAAGTTTCTGATTCATAACTCACATCAGTGAGGTTGTCCGCCAAATTGTTCCGTAACTGCGGATGCGCAGTGATCCGTTTCTTGACCTCGCCTGGTGCAACGGACGTAAGTTTTTGCTATTGATCTCGTTTATTGATTTTGTAGCATTTCTTAGCTCGCACCAACGGGCGGAAAGAAAGCAAACATAGTTTTATAATACACTGAATTTTATCTCACTGAATTATCAATCAATTATTTTTAACCCTTATATTAATTTTGCATTTATTCCATATACATCAATTATTTATTTTCGAATAGGGTTCTTTCATTTGACACGTTTTGTTAGTTTGAGAAGTGGCACTAGTTTTTTAACTTAATCATCGACATTATTTTCCGAGTAATTAATGGCTTGTATAACTAACATAGCCTGCAGTTTTAAAAAAGTTATTTTTTTAAAGTTGATAACAAATAATGAATTCGATTAACTTTCATGCGGAAAATCTCGAAAAAGAAGAACAGATGCCAAATGATGTTGCGGAATGTAATAATAGTTTTCCAAATCGAGTTTTTTGAAGTAGCGTATTGCTTAAAATTATATACTGATTAAATAATATTACTTATATCCACTCTTTGCATTATCTTCGCACCGTTGATATTAAAATTTCAGTTAAATGCAGTCATATATATATTTCGAGCAAGATTTCTTCTGAAAGACAAGAATTTATTTTTTTTAACTTCTTATTAGTCAGAGGATTGCCACAAATTCAATATAAAAAAATCTATTTTCATAGTTAAGATTTCTATATTTAGAATAATATATAACTTTTTCGGAGTTAGATATTTAGAGGAGGCACACTGTCCAGATTTTTTATGATTATTCCACCCAATTCATGCCCCTGCAATTGCCTTGATGAGGATCGATGAATAATGACCGTTGCTGATGATATCGTATCGCATCATCAGGATGCGATACTTTGTCAAGTGGTTTGGTAGCGTAGAAATATCTTTTTATAAATGAATGGCATATGAACATATACCGCAATATACAAATACTGCAAGTTTTTATATTAGAGGGTAGAATTGCACATTAAAACGGAAGTTTGCAAAATATGAGCATTTACAAGGTCATGTAACAGATTTTTACACCTCTTATAGGCTTTCTGGAACTTCTAATATTCTTTGACGAGCTGCTAAGGCAGGATATAAAACAGATGATCCTATGCTTTCTAGATGGGAAGCAATAATAAGTTGCACACAAAAATATATAAGAAAAAGGTACAACGGATTTAACGGTGGCAATAACATGGTTAACGTGGCGTGCACACGTGGCTCTCGCAAGTGGCGGCCAAGTGGCTACATCGATTAATCGTGCGCTGCGTGATTGCAGTTACGGTGATTGCGTGATTGCAGCTCCTACTCGTACTGATCACATCGTCTCATTATGCACGCTTCGCTGATCATGCGCACGCTCGTGATTGTTGTGATTGCTTCTTGCACTCCCGCGCCAGGGAGGTGACTATATTTATAATAAAGTATATATGATATTATTTCACGATTCGATTTTATAATCGCAGCACAATTGATCGCTCGGTTATTAGTTCATGGCAATAATTGGCTTCCTTTTACTAAACAAGCTTAAGATAGAAGAATGTTTAAGGCGAAAGATTGTTTAGTGCTCTCAGTACCAATATTAAGGTAATGCAAGTAAATAGCGTAATGAATTTAATATTTTATTTTTCAATAATCCAGTCATTGAGAAGTTCTGGTTTAAAGTAGCCTTGTTACTCGAAATTATTACTTTGCTTTGCGATGATGAACTAGCAATACTTCGAACGGCTTTCCTCCTAAGAGACCATGCTTAACTAATGTATGGGAATTAATTGGCCACCGATATTTCGACCAAGATTATGACCATGGCAGAGACATGGAACGGCCGCGATCGAAGTCTGCGTCAGGAGATCATGGGAACCTCGGCGGCCATCGACCGCTTGGCGTGCGTCGGCCGTTACCTGCCTCTGTAATGGGCGCTGCAACGTGCACTAAATGAGCAACGTTGTCGAGCCTTGATTAAAAACGGAAGCAAGTGGCGGCCAAGTGGCTACATCGATTAATCGTGCGCTGCGTGATTGCAGTTACGGTGATTGCGTGATTGCCGCTCCTACTCGTACTGATCACATCGTCTCATTATGCACGCTTCGCTGATCATGCGCACGCTCGTGATTGTTGTGATTGCTTCTTGCACTCCCCTGTCAGGGAGGTGATTATAATATTTATAATAAAGTATATATGATATTATTTCACGATTCGATTTTATAATCGCAGCACAATTGATCGCTCGGTTATTAGTTCATGGCAATAATTGGCTTCCTTTTACTAAACAAGCTTAAGATAGAAGAATGTTTAAGGCGAAAGATTGTTTAGTGCTCTCAGTACCAATATTAAGGTAATGCAAGTAAATAGCGTAATGAATTTAATATTTTATTTTTCAATAATCCAGTCATTGAGAAGTTCTGGTTTAAAGTAGCCTTGTTACTCGAAATTATTACTTTGCTTTGCGATGATGAACTAGCAATACTTCGAACGGCTTTCCTCCTAAGAGACCATGCTTAACTAATGTATGGGAATTAATTGGCCACCGATATTTCGACCAAGATTATGACCATGGCAGAGACATGGAACGGCCGCGATCGAAGTCTGCGTCAGGAGATCATGGGAACCTCGGCGGCCATCGACCGCTTGGCGTGCGTCGGCCGTTACCTGCCTCTGTAATGGGCGCTGCAACGTGCACTAAATGAGCAACGTTGTCGAGCCTTGATTAAAAACGGATGTTCGTTGATGATATTTTGCGAGAAGTGTAGGTAGTCTCGATGTAGGAGTGTGTGGCAGGGTTGTTGTGGAGCCTTGATTAAAAACGGATGTTCGTTGATGATGTTGTGCGAGAAGTGTAGGTAGTCTCGATGTAGGAGTGTGGTAGGGTTATTGTTGTCGAGCCTTGATTAAAAACGGATGTTCGTTGATGATGTATTGCGAGAAGTGTAGGTAGTCTCGATATAGGAGTGTGGTAGGGTTATTGTTGTTGAGCCTTGATTAAAAAATATTGATGGTTGATGATATTTTAAAAGAAATGTAGGTAGTTTCAACGCAGAATTGGGTCGTATAATAAATATTGGTAAATTTATCTTGTGTGAAGGTTTGAATCGAGTAATTGTTGTGTGCTTCGAAAATCAAAGGAATCGCGAAAAAGGCGCCGCAAGAAAAAATTTCAACCCCAAATTATCATATTTATTCTGGGAATTTTGCATATATATTTATTCAGAACATATATTTAAAGATTTTATTTATGGCTTTATCTTCCCACGTGCAGGGGAAGGCCTGCCGGACACCGCTGACGATACCCCAGATACGGTTGGGGAAGAAGCCAGTGCTGCCGACCCTCAGCCCCAAAATAAGGGGAACTGCAGAGGAGTAAACAGCAAAACGGGAGGAGCAGGCAAAATTGCTAGAAAGAACGGAAAAGTGAACAAACCTGAGGGGAAACAAGTGCGGATACGGACTGTAATGACGGAGCGTCAAATCAACACCCTCAAGTGAGTGAAAATAAATTTTCAAGTTATTTGAAAAATTATCATTGAGTTATTTTATTGCTAATTTGTTTATGTGATGAAGGAATCCTTAGTGCATGGACGAATATGGAAAGGCAAAGAGTAAATAAGGACATAGCATACACAAATAGCTTCTAATAGGAGTGACTTCTTACATTGGAAAGCAAATAAGAAAATATTGAAAGAAAATATTGAAAATACTCAATATTGCAGGGAGTATTTTGTTCGTAGCGCGGTGATTTAACTAGGAATAAGAATTCAGTGGTGAATTGGGCGTCCAGAGAAAATTTCATGTATAGAAAATCATATTTATCATTGCAATTCATTCATGTCCTTTTACATAATACATTTTACTGATAAATTCTTCGGAGTGACACACAGAGAAATGAGCGCTACTGTCCAAATAGCAATGCGCATCTGGCTATGTGTGTGTCATCCTAATCCAAATGGGCTCGCCAAAAGAGCAGTTCAGTGCCACCCACAAATAGTGTGTTAATTACTACTTGGACAATATGAAACTTATTTTTCTGGGTGCTGGGCTAAAATCCGAGAAAAGACACGCGTTTATCAGCGCGTGAAGCAGGAGCCGATGATTGGACGTGACTTGTAAAACATGGCTGAAGAATTGCGAGGGCAGCCGTGAGGGAAAGGCTCGTCCGCTTGGAAAGAGGATCTCAGGCTGATTTGATATTTCTTGCTTGATTTTTTTCACGTGGAGAAAGTGATGTTTTTTGTGTATTTGAAAAAGTGAAGCAGGAGCCGTGAAGCAGGAGCCGTGAAGCAGAAGCCGTGAAGCAGGAGCCGTGAAGCAAGAGCCGTGAAGCAGAAGCCGTGAAGCAAGAGCCGATGATTGGACATGACTTGTAAAACATGGCTGAAGAATTGCGAGGGCAGCCGTGAGGGGAAGGCTCGTCCGCGTGGAAAGAGGATCTCAGGCTGATTTGATATTTCTTGCTTGATTTTTTTACGTGGAAAAAGTGATGTTTTTTGTGTATTTGAAAAGTATTTGAGTGAATTATTTTTCTAAGAGGTATATTTATGGGTTCGCTTCTTAATACAATGCAAGAAAATTGAAGAAAATAAAAATATAGTATTATTTAACAGATAATTTTTATTCAACGGCAATAATATGATAGCAGAATTTCATTAGAAGTACCATTTTTGATTGGTTAATTATTGCTGTTTGTGTCGATATTTAAAGATATAAGATTTATACACGTAACTAAATGTATACAGTTATTGATAGAAACTGAAGCTTCTTGTTTTTTTCTCTATCAAGTGATTCACGGAAAGCAATAAAAAATAATACTACAACTTAGAATAAAAATTGCTTACAGTTCCAAAACTCACTTCAAATGTTTTACAACAAATCTCAAAGCAAATAAGCTGTAACAAGAAACAAAAAAGTTATGTGAATAGGTTTAGTTGCACAGCTTGAACAAATAAGGTGTAACAATAAACAAAAAAGCTAAGTGAATATCTTAAATTTCACTGATTGAAACTAATAAATTTTTTGTCACAAGGTCCAGCTACGAAATGAACGACCGTCCAGACGCGCTACAGAAGGAGCGTCTGATCGACGTTACCGGCCTCACCCACCGCGTCATCAGAGTCTGGTTCCAGAACAAGAGATGTAAGGAGAAGAAGAGAAGGATTAAGATGCAAGAAGACATGCAGGTAATTGCTATATTATTAGGCTATAATGTTTATAAAGGCAGCAATGTGTTGAGGGCTTTTTCAATGTTTGCTTGTCAGCTCTCATGGCGGTTTGCCGCATGCCTCGGGCGTCTGGATTTTTCGTTCGCTCATGGAAGCTTCTGGTGATATTAAAAAAATTAAAATTTTCATTTCATGAGACTTCTATATATTAAGAGTTTGAATTCATGACTCAAATAATTAATGTTTTACCGAGGCATTTAATTCAAGCATGAAGAATTCCTGAAAAAAATGTAATGACTTTAGGTGCCATTTTTCAAGTCATCAACAAATCAAAAAAATATTGACCCATAAATCAATTTATATACTTAAATCAATATAAAATAAACAAATATCTCGGCTTGTACTCTGTGTGTGTTCCAAGAAATTTCATGAACTGTACGCTGGTAATGCATTTGTGTGCAGCGGTTTTAAAGACTCATAATAATTTTACGGCTATATCCATTCAAATTCAAACACCATCATTGAGGCCTTGTCTCTGAAATACTATAATCTTTCTTGAAGATTTAGATTTAGAGCTTCGACTGTAAGAGTATATATGTACTGCGTCGCGTTTAAATGTCCGCCGACTTGAAAGTGCTTTGGCAACATCACTTTTGTCCTACCTCATCACTTCACTAACATCTCAATCATCTTGCCCACGTGACCAGGCTAACAGTAGCAGCCTACATTCAAATTTCAGGTTGTTTGTGCATATCATTACCGGTATAAGTAGTCTAATCGTATTCGATTAGACCATAAATCACTCGCAATATGGAGGGTTTGTAATGGAAATGCTCTTGTTTATACCGAACCAATAACAGCTTTGATAATAAACGACTGCACTTATTCCGGAACCCCCACGGTTTAAAGGTCCTTAAAATAAAGTCTTTGGGCAAAATCCTGTATACCATTTGTTTTTGCTATGATATTAAAGGTTTCATTTGTTTATAATTTAGTTAGAATTAGTTAAATTTTGCGTGATTTTATCACATCTGCTGTGAAGGTTATTACATAATCTGTTATTTTTTGGGTCGGGAACATCTTTATACTTGGAACTGGTCAGTAAGTTTACACGTTGGAAGTATGCAAAGGTTGATATCATGTATACTACTTTACACATCACACTCCACGGATGACGAAAGTAAACATGCGCAATTTTAGCAATATTTATCTATGTAAACATTAGGTGCATCAAGATAAAATTGGCAGGGCAACTGCACTTAGGAAGTTACTTATCTACTTATCTCATATTAGTGTTACTCTTCACATTTCGCTGACCACTGTACACATTTCAGAGACTATTCTTCACATATTAGTGACTTTTCCTCACATATTGGTGACTAATCTTCAGCTATAAATGTTACACTTCCCATACTAGTCTTATTTACTACTCTTCACATATTATTGACCACTCTTCACATATTATTTACCACTCTTCACATATTATTAACCACTCTTCACATATTATTTACCACTCTTCACATATTATTTACCACACTTCACATACTATTGACCACTCTTCACATATTATTGATCACTCTTCACATATTATTGACCACGCTTCACATATTATTGACCACTCTTCACATATTATTGACCCTCATCGCATATTATTGACCACTCATCGCATATTATTTACCACTCTTCACATATTATTGCACACACTTCACATATTATTGACCACTTTTCACATATTATTGACCACTCTTCACATATTATTTACCACTCTTCACATATTATTGACCACTCTTCACATAATATTTACCACTCTTCACATATTATTGACCACTCTTCACATATTATTGCCCACTCTTAACATATTATTGACCACTCTTCACATATTATTGACCACTCATCGCATATTATTTACCACTCTTCACATATTATTTTCCACTCTTCACATATTATTTACCACTTATCACATATTATTGATCACTCTTCACATATTATTGACCACTCTTCACATACTATTAACTAATAATACTATTACATACTATTACAGCTTTGCTTCACATATTATTGACATAAGTAAAGAGAACGTATACAAGAAAACTGTCATTTGTGGCATCGCCAGCCTCGCTGCACACTCAGGACTGAACAACGTCTGGGGTCTGAATAAATAATGGACCTTGCAGGGGTGACTATGATGTCTTATAACGTAAATCTGGAAGCCCTGTAAAACCAATACATCAATCAANTGATGTCTTATAACGTAAATCTGGAAGCCCTCTAAAAACCAATATATCAATCAATATTTGCAGGTTATTACGGTTAGTGGAATTTTAAGTTGATAATTTCATGTTGTATTATTTTAGAGCAGAAATGCTCGTATGCTTATTATTAAAAGCTCCGATCGTTTCCCCTTGCTTAAAAAACGATAACGTGATCATATATAGAAAAATTTGCATGATCATATACATTAAAATTATTACATCATTCAATATTTACAAGGTAGGGAGGTTAGGTATTATTCAGTCGAATCCATTCCAGCGAAATGCTCATTTTATAAAAAACGTGACCTGCATTTCTTGTTGCATCACAAACATTAACAAGTAAATTCATTCACATGCTTTCATATATACTTTTTATTTATACTTTTTTATGAAGAATGCAATGTATTTACTGTGTAGCCTGAGGCTGCGATGTGTGCTTAAGGCAAGCACGTTCGATTGGACGAAATTGCAGGCGTGTTTGTTCGATGATTGCGAGCCCGGCGCCATATAATAAGTCCAAGTCTTGAGTAAAGAACGCAAGGGACAAATCAAAATTAATAATAATAATGCTGGGCACTTGATTTCTTGGGCGATGAAAAGTCGTCGGTGGAATTAGTAATAATAATAATAATAATAATAATAATAATGCTGGGTACTTTATTTCTTGGGCGATGAAAAGTCGTCGGTGGAATTAATAATAATAATAATAATAATAATAATAATGCTGGGAACTTGATTTCTTGGGCGATGGAAAGTCGTTGGTGGAAAGAGTATTGGATTTATTGGGAATTTTGTTCGAGTAAAATGCATTTGGTTGCTGGTTATAGACTTCCGTTCTAGAGCGATAGTTTCTCAGTGTAAGTTTAAAAAACGAATTTTAGAAATGAATAATAATTGCTGGCCTATTTTTATCTTTTATTTGGTAAATGATTCGGTGAATCTAAATTCATTCATCACATTAAGTTTGTTTTAGAAATTGCTGCTGAAATATTCTGTTATAAATTAAGAAAGAGAAAAAAAATCCTGAGTTCGCGTTGCCCAAATAGCTATTTAAAAATAGAATAGCTAGAATTAAAATAATAACAAACGACGTATAACTTAAAGAATGGCACTAGAGATGAGTAAAGTGAAGATATAGAGAGGGAGAGCGGGGGGAAGCGTGGGGATGAGGAGGGGGGTGTAGGGGACGTGGGGGAATGGGGTTTATGTTCTCTGTCCATTAGCGAGAGCCTCCACTGCGGACAGCCTTATTCATGCTGATGTTGTTGATGTTGTAGATGTTGCTGTTGTTGCTGATGATGTTGCTGATGTTGTCGATGTTGTTGCTGATGTTGCTGTTGTTGATGTTGTTGATGTTGTTGTTGAATTGTTAATGCCCAACTTGAACGCATGGTAAAGTTTACAGCAAAGTTTAAAGCGAAGTTTACGAAGAAGTTGTTAAGGGTAAAGCTAAGTAGAGTTTGCGGATGGAGATTCTAACTTTTTCTACGCTTTTTGTGAATAAATGAAGATGAATGTTGCGTTCATAGAATGATTAGTTGTGAATAAAATTAACTGGAGGTATTGCAAATGGATTAACTATTGATTTATCTCCAAGAAAATTTTACAAGACAATCTTAAATGTCCGAGAAAATTTTATTATATTACAATTTAACAGACTTTCCCACGCACTCAAAAGATATAGAAGCTCTTGATAAAGTTACAGGACTCGTGCGCGAGCTGTTAGACCATCTCACCTCAGGCACCATGCATGACATTATTCAAGTGGCATCAACATCAATGTGTTCATCAACATCAATGTGTTGATTGTGATGCCGGTCATTATTATCAACGAGTCGATTATCTTCAGGAGCACCGATAACCAATTTTTGATAGGTTATAACCGCCCTTTGACACGCCAGTCGCTTTGATCAAGCGGACTTGTGAACCTACCGCCGACACCGGCAGCTTTTGAAGCCAAATGTACGTGATAATAATTACGCGATAACATTGCTTTCCCATACAAGGGCATCAGAGACAGCTTTGTAATTTTTAGCAGTTATTTGTACACTAATATTTCGAATTGAAATATTAGTGTACTAAATATTAGTGTATTGGTGTAGTTTCTATTTAAACGAATTTTAATTTTTTTAAATTTGTTCATTGTCAACAAAGAAGAAAAGTGTATTTTAATTTCATTTGAGAAAATAGCATTCTTAGGTTCAGTAGATTTATTTTAATGGTTAAGTCTTAAAAAACATAGCGATTTCTCTGTTGATACTAAAATATATTTAGATGAATCAATGCATTCGGCAGCATTCCTCTGTGAGCTATCCTCTGGAAGACATTTGTTGATTAGAATTAATCAATTTATTCAAATATTAGCTTCATAGCCTGAGATCAGAATATAATCAATAACATTAATCAGTATGCAATTGCTACAAAAAATATGTATCGCTTGTATATAATCTTGCCTGTGGATGCATCGATAATTAATGAAAAGTAATCAATCGTTCGATGCGATTATGAATCCGTACGTGAAATTTCCACGCTAGTGTCATTTCTGATGTCATTTTCATCGTATCTCTTTTCTGTGAAATATTTTCCGTTTTCACTACATTGCAACTTGTTATAACTAAATTTCAGCCTAAAATATTAATTTATTTCACAATATATTATTATATCAACTTCTGATATTAATGATATCAATATACTAGTAGACCATTCCTTTAGTCACCTTCTTTATAATGTATTTCTTCTAAAAACACCAACAATTTATATGAATTTCGTAGCACAACGTGAGTACCTTCATTACTTCGCTTGAATGTCAAGGCAATATTTGCCAGGTCATAGTTACGTGCCACTAGGATGCACTGAGACAAATTATTGGGTCATACTGCGCTTATATTGACACACTTTCTTATCCACGACCCGAGTAGAGAGAGTGGCCGCTACACTGGCAGGCACTTTTTCGGACCAAACTGGGTCTGAATGACACAGAAAAGGTCCTTCTGGGCCCTTTTGTCGTCGGATCATGGTCCAAAGGATTTTGGTCCAAATGATCATGGTCCAAAGGATCAAGGTCCAAAATGCGTCGTCGTTATTTTGACCATGATCCTCTGATATATTTGAGTGTTACCCGGCGTGCATAAGTCACATTATACACTGGGCTTGTTTACAGTGGCCAGCGCTGCTGTTCTATAGTCATTGTGACGTGACCGCGTGTCAACACCGCCTTTAGATTTATTAGGCGTCATATTTTGGCACTGGACTTCAGTGGCTACACCTAGAGAAATTAATGAGCCTTTGTCCAAATTTAGTAGGCGGCACGGTGGCTCTGGGCTTCAGTGGCTGCACCCAAAGAAATTAATGAGTCTTTGTCCAAATTTACTAGGCGTGATGGTAGCTCTGAGCTTCAGTGGCTGCGCCCAGAGAAATTAATGAGTCTTTGTCCAAATTTAGTAGGCGTATCGGTGGTACTGAACTTCAGTGGCTGCACCTAGAGAAATTAATGAGTCTTTGTCCAAATTTAGTAGGCGTATCGGTGGCTCTGAGCTTCAGTGGCTGCACCCAGAGAAATTAATGAGTCTTTGTCCAAGTTTAGTAGGCGTCACGGTGGCACTGAACTTTAGTGGCTGCACACACAGAGAAATTAATGAGTCTTTGTCCAAATTTAGTAGGCGAAAAGGCGGTACTGGACTTCAGTGGCTACACCCAGAGAAATTAATGAGTCTTTGTCAAAGTTTAGTAGGCGTGGTGGTGGTACTGAACTTCAGTGGCTGCACCCAGAGAAATTAGTGAGTCTTTGTCCAAATTTATTAGGCGTCGCGGTGGTACTGAACTTCAGTGGCTGCACCTAGAGAAATTAATGAGTCTTTGTCCACATTTAGTAGGCGTACAGTGGCACTGGACTTCAGTAGCTACACCCAGAGAAATTAATGAGTCTTTGTCTAAATTTAGCAGGCGTGGTAGGCGTGGTAGGCGTGGTGGTGGCACTGGACTTCAGTGGCTACACCTAGAGAAATTAATGAGTCTTTGTCCAAATTTAGTCGGCGTGACGGTGGCACTGGACTTCAGTGGCTGCACCTAGAGAAATTATTGAGTCTTTGTCCAAATTTAGTAGGCGTATCGGAGGCACTGGGCTTCAGTGGCTGCACCCAGAAAAACGAATGAGTCTTTGTCCAAATTTACTTCGGGTGCCGGTGGCACTGACTGCGCCCAGAGAAATTAATGAGTCTTTGTCCAAATTTACTAGGCGTAGCAGTGGCACTGGGCTTCAGTGGCTGCACCTAAAGAAATGACTGAGTCTTTGTCCAAAATGCGATGCTTTTTTTTCATCGTAGGTGATCATTCTGACCAAGATAAAGGGCGTTTCTGTGCTACGTAACGCAAGTGTGTCACTATTTACACGCATGACCTAAATTATATTTCTGAGTGTAAACGATGGATCCCACCACACATCTGATGTTGAAGTTACTTTAAATAAACGTTATTTTTAACGAAAACAGGTGTAATTAAGGTTGTTGCAACGTTATTTGGCTGGAGAAGATGCATTTAAAAGGTGGAAACGATTAGTCCATGCAAGAATGTTGTCAAAATGGTTTAATAGGACGTATTCCTAATTACGACATAATCTAAAACTAATATTTTAACTCAGATATTACAGTACTCCGATTTATTGTTATATTTCTTTACAAAATTCAAAGATTTGCGGACGTTTTTTACTAAGTATACATTAACAGGACATTCGCCTGCCATACAAACATTATGCTTCGTTCGTAGTTGCATATTTTTTTAATATTTCGGAAATATATGCGATCATGAATTGATCAACGAAGTAATAGTGCTAGTGATTCAGTCTAGGCTTAACTTTTTGTTACAATAAAATGGCTGATAATATGCCACTGGATATGAGTTTAGATAACTAATTTATTCAATTAAAATTAATTAATCAAGACAATATATAAAGCAAGCAATAGCTGAAGAAATTTTTCTTAAATTTCACATTCCTCAATCCATCTTCGCTCTACATCAAGAGTCTGCTTAAGCCAAACGTAATATATTTTTATTAGCTTAAATTAAATTATGATGAGAAAATTTGATGTGAAAATTACAGAGAAAAAATTACACAGAATTGCAATGCAGTTTTTGCACAAGTGTGGGTCATTTTGAAAAATTATTACATAGTATTTTGCTCATCAAAAGGACGCGTCAGTTCTGCGTCTGATCCCTGCTCGTGCTGTGGGGAAGAGAGTGTGTCTATTTAGACAATGTGACCCAGTAATTCTTCTGAGTGTCTAAGACAACTTAATTATGATTAGCATAAACTTGATTGAGTCCACGNAAGGCCACAGCCGTGGCCATAAAGCCATAAAACAGGGCGGCCTTCAGCCATCGTCACACTCAAATAAATGAATGGGTCACAATGGCCAAATAGTGACTCACTTCTAGCACGTAGCACAGATACGCCTATTATATATACCATATGTAGTGCTACCATAAGTACACTACCATATGTAGGGTACATATATACCATATGTAATGCTGTGTAGAGCTTCAGCCATCGTCACACTCAAATAAATGGATGAGTCACAATGTCTAAATAGTGACTCACTTCTAGCACGTAGCACAGATACGCATATTTTCCGGGCTAAACTGGGTCAAGGTGACTCACACACGGCCAAGAAATGCATCGGTATTTAGACAAGATATTATTTACCTTAGTGGTCGATTACGTTTTCATCTAATTTTTATTTTCATCTAATTTCTTTTATATATTAGTGAGTGATTTATTTCTTCATTTTTATTCAAGGGATTTAATTTATTTTAGTTTTTTATATAATGCAAAATAAATGTTTTTTTTCAATTTAGCATCAATGCATAGAGATAATAGTGCTAATTTTGTAATTAAAAATTGTATTTACATTATACTACAAGAAAACTTACAACAGATTCTTTCTTGAGGTTGGAAAGTCACAAATTTCATTCGCTTGACGTTTTTTTTTTTTTGCTTTTAAATTCTTATGGTTTAAATTCTAGTTTAAGTTATGATTTAAGTAGACTAGTGATATATATTTATGTTTCGTGCTGCCGTAACTGAAGCTCGGAACAGGTATACTGCGGACTCTGGAAAACGGAAATACCAAACAGTCCGGAGTGTAGGGCTATCCGCTGATAAGGCTGGAGCCACGGCGCCTAGCTTGCATCATACCAACTTCATCATTAGCCTACATCGTTTGGAATGCTCACTATCATCATTAGCCTTCATCATTTAAAATGTTAACTATGATCATTAGCCTTCTTCATTTGAAATGTTAGCTTTCATCATTAGCCTTAATCATTTGGAATGCTCACTATCATCATTTGGAATGCTCACTATCATCATTAGCCTTTATCATTTAAAATGTTCACTATCATCATTAGCTTCCACTATTTAAAATGTTCACTATCATCATTAGCCTCCAGAATTTGAAATGTTCAGTATCATCATCAACCTTCTTCATTTTGAAAGTTCACTATGATCATTAGCCTTCATCATTTGGAATATTCACTATCATCATAAGCCCTCACCGTTTGGAATGTTCACTATCATCATTAGCCTTCATCATTGGGAATGTTAACTATCATCATTACCCTTCATCATTTAAAATGTTAACTATCTTCATTAGCCTTCATCATTTAAAATGTTAACTATCATCATTAGCCTTTATCATTTAAAATGTTAACTATCATCATTAGCCTTCATCATTTAAAATGTTAACTATCATCATTAGCCTTTATCATTTAAAATGTTAACTATCATCATTAGCCTTTATCATTTAAAATGTTAACTATCATCATTAGCCTTTATCATTTAAAATGTTCACTATCATCATTAGCCTTCATCATTTGGAATGCTCACTATCAAAATTAGCCTTTATCATTTAAAATGTTAACTATCATCATTAGCCTCCATAATTTGAAATGTTCAGTATCATCATTAGCTTTCATCGTTTGGAATGCTCACTATAATCATTAGCCTTCTTCATTTAAAATGTTAGCTTTCATCATTAGCCTTCATCTTTTGGAATGTTAACTTTCATCATTAGCCTTCATCATTTGGAATTGTTCACTATCATCATTAGCCTTCATCATTTGAAAAATTAATTTGCATCATCAGCCTTTATAATTTCAAATGTTAATTTTCATCATTAGCCTTCATCATTTCAAATGTTAATTTTCATCATCAGCCTTCATCATTTGGAATGTTCACGATTGTGCACATTGTTCATTCGATAAAAGACATAATACAAGTGACAATTAAATCCCGTGTTTTCTTCTATTGTAGACATCAGTTGCTTAATAATGCCTCTAATTCCCCACACAGAAGTCGATGATGTCGTTTTATTCCTCGATGCGGGGGGTGCCGATGGTGGCCCAGGCCCCCTCATCCCTCGAGGCCCCCCTCCCCATCAACGTTGATGTCCTCACGTCCAGCTGGGCCCAGCACGGGGCCCAGCACGGGGGCGGCTATGGGGCCCAGGAAGGACTGGGTCATTTCGACCCACATTCACCTCAGCGCGTCATGGGTACCGTGAGTTACAATAACTTATCTCAATTATGAATATAACTAATTGTAATTATAAATTACATATAATTACAATTAATTATAAATTAAAAAATAATTGCATAAATAATTGTAGGATAATTGGCGGGCACGACTCGTTAAGAAATAATTCTAACATTACTCAAGAAATAATTAGTCATTTTAGAAACTCGTACCAGCGCTTTATGGGCCCGTGAGTTTTACAAACATAGTTTTGGATATGATTCGATATTTTACTACCACCAGCCATCTCGTTAGCATTTAGTAAAGCTAACTAAACGTAAAAAATGATTCATTATTTTAGACACTCGCCCCCAAGCCCCAGTGCCATACGGGCATCGTAAGCGATATAAATAAAATTCAAGAAATTAGCCTATTTTTTTAATGGGAGAACCACCTAAGCATACCACGTCATAAGCTTATAGCATGGCAGCGCATATTTACTTCAACGTTTAATCAACTTAAGCTACTTCGAGACAAAATGAATTTGTTTATCAAAATATTAATAATTGATTTCTCACTATACAAAGTTCTGTATACCGAAAATTATTTTTTAGACAAAATATAACGGAGCAGGATTTACCTGAGCGGGACTTGTTAGTTTAGTATCAGCCACTCCACTCCTCTGGAGCTCTCAGCGAGATCCTGTCTTAACTGAAGCATCTCAGGAGGATCTAAACATGATCGAACCCTTCCTTGAGACAATCCTATCCTCTTCCTTGAGACAATCCTATCCTCTTCCTTGAGACAATCCTGTTCTCTTCCTTGAGACAATCCTATCCTTTTCCTTGAGACAATCCTGTTCTCTTCCTTGAGACAATCCTATCCTTTTCCTTGAGACAATCCTATCCTCTTCCAAGCCCCTCTCGAGACCAAGCATCGCGCTTGATACGTCACCCATGCACGCAGAGAAATGGACGAGACTTTGTCAAAATAGTGATACAGTATTTCCATTATGTCATTATTTCCTTCCTCTTTAGACCCTGTTTGGGCCTAAGTAGGAAGAATTTGTTTTACACGTAGTAAGTGAGTCATTAATTGGACAATATGATCCCTACATTATTCTGAGTACATGCACGCTGATGTCTAACTGCAGTGAAAAATACGAAAGCAATCTAGGAAATGCGGAAGCCCAAATGTAATTTGAATTCCTGGCACTGGACCGAAAAACGAAATTCGAAATTTGTTTTATGAATATAATTCTTAATTGAAGACGCACTTTCTTCTGACCTGCAGGAGCCCAACTTGCTGATGTATACTTGCTGATGTATACTTGCTGATGTATACTTGCTGATGTATAATTCTGGTGCCTTTAACACCAATAAAATATTCATTCCAGCAATAATCGATATTCATTCCAATACTCCAGCCACATTTATTCAGTTTTGGAATAAAATATTCTTTCCAATCCAAAAATCTCCCAAAATTTCAGTCCAGTATTTTCCTAGAAGACTTCAATATTTCCATTCAATACATAACAGATATATTTAGAATCTAAAAGGTTTCATTGAGAAATGTTAGGGTCAGAGATTTATTTGAAATTTAATTTATTTTTCACGTATCCGGTAAATATTAATTGGATTTAATAAAATGTCATTACTGATTAACGGAAGCATCTTATTTTATAGTTAAGCGGATTTACTAATAGTTAAGTCATTTATTGCAATAGAATTTTTGATAATTTTTATTACATTAGACATTTTGACTTAGGATAACAAGTTCAAATTAAAATCTTTCTATCGCATATGTTTGAACGCAAAATATTATAATATTACGAGAACATTTAGATAAAATAATGCACAATGAAATAAATGAAGGTAATACAGCACACAAGCTAACATTTGTTCGGTATTGCAAAATTGAATTACTGGATTCATGAAACAAATGTTTCCACGTTATAAGGAAATGTTTAGCATGTTATGGAAACATCGCTAACATCTTTGTGACACCGCCAATCTGGAGGTTTTCCCTCAGTTTCCCGCTGGCTAGCGGAAGACCTCCCCTAGAGCTGGCAGGGGTGACGTGAAAAGGACTCAAGGAATAGAGCATTGGATTCCCCTTTAGATATACCACTGATAAATTGATATACTACTGATAAATTATATCAATAGGAATAATCCCTTGATGAATAATCCCTGATGATGTTAGCCCCGGTCCACAGCCCTGCGTTTAGAGATCTGTAATAATTATTTCACAATTAAATGGATTCTCTATTAATTTAAATGTTGGAATCCCCATTACATTTGCTACATATAAATGATGTCAACACTAATTATTCTTGATAATGTTAAACTCGGCACTGCGTTCAGAAACAAGGTATAATTAACATTTCAATCAAAGTCTCTTCCAGTTTTTACTTCTGAATAATTACAGAAAATAATTTGGATATAGAACAATTTCATTGAGGCTTCTATCATGAGATCGTTTCCATTATCATAAAACCTTTTTAAATCTGATTAGATATCAACCTCTTTAAATCTGATTCTCATTGAAAGTATTTCATGCATGCTTGATTGCCTTCGACGCTATTAGCAAACAACAATCCCAGTATTCTGGGGTATTCTTGTTTTTCTGCTCTAGAAATTTTACCATTAAACTCTAGCCCATTATTTCGTTACGCTACATATAAGTACACTTCGAAAGATAAATGGATCTCATTGTCCAAGTTTTGACACACTAGTCTTATTCAAATTATTCTTATATTCTTTCATACAATACGAGCAATAAGAGGACGTAGCATAGATACGCCTTATTTTCGGACCAAACTGGGTCAGGATAAGGGAAATAAGTGGATCGATACCTGGAAAAACTGTCTATCATTTATTTGAGTGTGCTGTAATTCCTGAGCCTCCAATCAATCCTTATCGCCAGATTGTCTTCAAAAATTCGTAGTCTTTTATCCCTAAGTTCAACTTTACAAAATTGCGAGCAATTATGTCTTGCAATTAGACAAGCGATAAGACACTTACACAATTTTCCTTCGAGCCTTCGTAAATAGTTTACAATGGTGAACATCAGGCCTTCCGAGCCTTCGCAAATAGTTTCCGATGATGGACATCAGGACAATAATTGTTTGTATAATTAATTGATAGATTTCGCGGCATCACCGCCAATTGTTTCGTACGCGTGCGACGCGGCACCTCTGTTAGTTTTCAGAAAAAAGTTAAGAGATCGTAAGTTCATCTGCCAATCATCGACGGTATTAGAAGCAAAATCTACCAATCATAGACAAGAAAATAGAGCGTAAGTCCTTTCGTTAACTTAGCGAGTTTTGAAAGTATGGCACCTGGTCCATCGCTCTACGCATCATGTTCAAAACAACGTTTCTTTTCATTGCTGACTCGATATTCAGGATAATCTTTGTCTAGTTTGGTTATTACATGTATTAGTTAAAACATATTTATGATGCGGTTATTAATGTCTACCGAAAATTAGCAGTGATTTACGTGTAAATATAATTTTTTCATTTTAAAATACCTGCATTCCTCATTCCATTGAAAGTAGCAGTGTTTTGCTAAAAATCAAAGGATTACCCCGAAAATGGCAAGTTTCAAAGGATAAATTAAAGTTTCACTAAAAAATCACCGTGATTTACTCAAAAATACGAGAGAAAAATTACTGAAAAATCGTAATTTTTCACTAATTTTAGTAGTGTGCATGTAACTCAACAATAGAAAAAGGGCTTCAAGTAGGAATAACGTCTTGTATTTGACCGAAAAGCCCGCGTCACGCTCTGCCAGTCAAGCAAACTCTACAGAGTTACTTGCCTCACTAAGACTGGACAGTATCAAATGACAGACCTCTGTCTACTTGCCCTTTCATTCTGTCTGTCTGTCTGTATACTCCTAACCTCGTGCCGGTCGTTCGTCCGTCACTTCTTCCTGTCAATCCATCCGCCTGTCTATCAGATCTGTCCAGCATCCGTCTGCTTTTAGGTTGTTTTTGTTTCTTTAGTTACCCTCGCGTAGATAAGTAACCTTAACCTTCAAGATTAAGATTTTGTATTTTTTAATGGAAGCAAAAGACCATTTTTCATAATAAGAAATAATTAACCTTATATAAAGTTTTTTCATAATTAATATATAAAAATAAAGCTTAGCATTATATATGAAATTCATGTATATCGATAGTAATGATGAATAATTATACCATTCACATTCCATATGGAAACACAATATAATATTTATCATATTTTCTATTCTGCAACTCAAGTTAAATGATACATTATCATGCCACACTCCCACACTTCACACCACTCCAGCATGCCCTTACAACAGCATCATGCCACACTCCCACACTTCACCCCACTCCAGCATGCCCTTACAACAGCATCATGCCACACTCCCTCACTTCACCCCACTCCAGCATGCCCTTACAACAGCATCATGCCACACTCCCACACTTCACCCCACTCCAGCATGCCCTTACAACAGCATCATGCCACACTCCCTCACTTCACCCCACTCCAGCATGCCCTTACAACAGCATCATGCCACACTCCCTCACTTCACCCCACTCCAGCATGCCCTCTGTTCCCTCTTTAAAGAAGTGCTCCACAAAGGCCCTCAGAGGGACGCAACCTCGTTACCTTCCCTCGGCTGTTGTATCCCTCGCAGCATTCAATTTTTCAATCATGTTTCTTTCTCTACATTTATTTCATTCATAAATTCCAAAATCCACTTACATTTTTCAATTATTTGCTTATAGTTATTATATTTGTCCCATGTATTAATTTATGTTTCCCAATCTCACCCATACCACATCCTTTTCCATTATTTTTTCCCTTATTTCAGTAATGATTCGACTCAGACTTTGTCCCTCCTGCATTTTTTCCCTCCCATAACTTCCCCTCGGTTTGTCCATCGCCTCCTCAACTTTCCTCTCGGTTTGCCTCTCACTCCCTCAACTTTCCCCTCGGTTTGCCCCCTCACTTCCTTAACTTTCCCCTCGGTTTGCCCCTCACTTCCTTAACTTTCCCCTCGGTTTGC